CTGGAGGCCTTTGGGATACCGTTGGGGAGCCTCTGTGGGGGCTGTTTGGACCTTTTGGGGCCTCTCGGGGGGTTCTTGGGCGCCTGCTAGTGAGTGTGCTGAAAATGCACGCTTTCGTAAGAGGATTGGACGATTTTCGCTTCTTGGGGCCTTTTTGGGAGTCCTCTTGGAGCCGCCTAGGGGCCTCTTGGAGGCTTAGGGCGTCTTGGAGGCTTCCCGTCTTGAGGCCATATTAGATGTTTTTGAGGCCTCCTCGGCGTGTCCGAACCCAGCTTGAGCCAGCTTAGATGGCATCTTGGGCAGCATGGAGGCCACAGAGTGTAGATTTTGATGCTTCAGAGGCCGCTGGAGGCTCCCAGGGTGCGTTGACGAGCTCGCCACCCCTCTCAAACGGCAGCAGTTTGGACCCCAGGGGAGGGGGAAAGGGGGAGGGGGACAGCCAATTATCTCACACGCCTTCTCACCCCCAGCCAGCGGGGGTTAGAGGACAGTTTTGAACCCAGGGAGCTCGAGGGGACGTGGGGACACTCCGCTTCGTGCCTTGCGGCACGGTGGCGGATCCCTGCGCCAGGTCGAAACTGTCCGCGGGGGAGCCCGCACTGTGAGCACGGGCAGCGCGAGCCGGACCCTGGGAGCGCCACCTGTGATTCGCCGATCTCGTGGTGACCTGGCACCTGTCACCACCCACCAAACCACCCCAACCCAACCCGAAGGCTCAGATTTACCCTCGATTTCCAGTGGGGGGGGGTCGGGAAACATGGAAAAAATACATGTGGAACCCTTACCACCCCCAACCCGAAATTCGGGTCTTCGGGTTGGGTTGGGGGGTCTGGTAGGTGGTCAACCTGCTGCCCGGACACGGACACCCCAGCAGGGTTCCCAGTGGTCCTCCGCCCTGGGGCCCGACGCCCCCCCCCCCCCGCTGGACTCGCGTTGCCGGGCTACTCCAGATTTCGTAATAAAAGGGAGGGGGTCTCAACCCTCCCAGACGAGAAGTTTTAGACCCCCCCCCCGTGGGAGAACCCTCCAAAACATCGTCCCCAGACCCCCCCAGGCCCTCCAAGATAGCTTGGAAAAGACCCCCCCCCCGAAATGAGACTCCCCTCCCTTTATTACGAAATCTGGAGTACTTTTGGCTGCTCTTGGTACAGGCGGCCCGGATTAGCAGGTCGACCCTGCCAGATCAGGGGTGCCTTCGCGCCCCGTGTCTTGCGACCTGTGCCTCCTGCATTTCTGTGGCGACGTGGCCCTCGGGAGGGTCTCGTGTCCTCTCGCGTGTCCTCTCCGATCAATCGGGGGTGGACAGAACCCCCAACAGTGACACGTCGATTAGTGAATTGTCCGTTTTCGGTTCTCGAGAGGGCGCCGTGGCCGTTATTTTCCAGGCTTGCGCCCGCCAGGTTTGGGCCTCAGGTCGTTTTCACTAAACCACGTTTTACTAAAGGGGGGTCTGTCCATCCCCGAATCAAGTCCGACTGTGTCCGGGGCAAGCGCCCCAATCGGCCAGAACCGTCGGGTCGCCTCTCGTGGGCGGAACGCACGCTCGTGCGCACGGCCTTGGAGGGCGGGGCTTCCGGGCTGCGGCCCCGTGGCTGCGGGGCGTCTTCTGCGAAGGCCCCGCGCGGAGCGCACCCGCGCGACCGCGCACCAAAACGCGGTCGCGCCCCGGAGTCCAGGCCGCGAGGGCGTGGCTATGGACACGTTCGCAGCCGGTGGGCCTCGACATTCAGGAGGGGAAGAAACACACAGACACAATTAATCGTCGATTCCCCAGAAAATATAGGAAAATATGGGAGTTAGGCGGGAAGACAGAAACCCAGAAAATATAGGAAAATAAGGGGAATCCTTTTATTTGTGTGCATTTATTTGTGTGTCCCAGGGCCCCTTCAGACATTTCCTGCGTCGTTCCTGCTCGTGCGGGCGCCCAGCAGCTTCAGCCGCGACTGCATTCGGCCTCGCGGTCGGCTTGCCAGGGAGGCGCCGGCGGCGCGAAGGTGGCGAGCGCACTAGTCGCGCCGCGCTCCTCCCCTCCTATGCCTCGTTCTCCGTCCCCCTCCCTTCCTCCTGCCCCCAGCTCCCTGCTTAGTTCGTTTGGGGGACCTTCCTGGGGCTCGCCTGACGGATCTTTTCTACTGTAGCATGACTCTAGTTCGATGTTAGCTCGATTCTAGCTCGACGCTCGACTCAATATCGACTCAAGTTCGGTTCAAGTTCGACTCAAATTGACGGACGTTCGACGCACGTTCGACGCATCTGCGGAGCGAGTGGCTCCAGGAAGGTCCCAGAACGAGCATATAACCCTCCTCGCCGCCTGGGGTGCGAGGGTCATCGTGTGTCGTTGCGCTTCCAGCAGCGCGGGGCACGAGGACAGCCAACCCACACTTAAGCGGCGAGCCCAGGGAGGAAGTGAGAAGGAGAAGAGGGCCATCTCTCGGAAGGCCCGGAAGTCCCCCCGGCCTCCCGAGAAGCTTTCTACGCCTAGACAATTTCGGAGAATGACGAGCCAGCAATACACACCCATACCCATAGGGGGATCGGAGAGGGCTATGGGTGCGTATTGTCGGATGGGGGTCCCCGCTCGAAAGGGAGCGTTCCCCAGGGTCCGACAACCCGCACCCATACCCATAGCCAGCCCTCCTCCCAACGACCTCCCTACGGGTATGGGTGTGTGTTGTTCGTTTTTCAGAGAAGGCGCGGGGGCTTCTGAGACGTCCCCCAGCCCTCTGGGAGGGTCTGCTCCTCCTCACTCTTCCCCCCCCCCCCCCTCGCTCGCCACCGAAACGCTGGGCGTATCGTATGAGACGTCCGCCGGCCAGCAGCTGCCCCGCGGAAGCTCCTCGCCCCCCCTGGGCCCCACTGGGACCGGAGGAGCTCTGGGGCGCCCTGGGACCCCCCGCGACGGTCGAAGGATGGGCCCAAGGTGCTCTTGACGTCACGATCGCTCATCGTATGTGTCCACTGTATGTTCGATTCGACCGGAGCCCCCCGCGATTGGTCGGGGGTGGACAGACCTCCTACCCTGACACGTCGATTAAGGAATTGGCCGTTTTCGGTTCGCGGGAGGGCGTCGCGGCCGTCATTTTTGCGGGTCCAGGTCCGTCGGTTTCGGTCCCAGGCCGTTTTCACTAAGGGGAGGTCTACTAAAGGGAGGTTTGTCCACCGCCGACCCAGGAAGTTCGAAGGATGGGCCCCAAGTGCTCTTGACATCACGATCGCTCATCGCATGTGTCCACTGTAGGCTCGATTCGACCGGAGCCCCCCGCGATTGGGACGCTGAGGAGGGACACGCAGACCGAGACATGAACAACCCGCTGGTTTCTGTGCAGATCCGACGCGTGGGGAGTGGAGGGGAGCTGCGAGGGAAGCCCAGGAACTCTGGAAGCAGAGGGCGAACCCTGGAGTGTCTGTCGATCTGCCTGTGCCTCCCTGGGCCTCTCTGGACGCCCCCCGGCGCAGGAGCTCGCCGCCAGGGTGGCCGGCGCGGAGCCCGCCAGGGCGCTGCCCCGGCCGCCGCCCGTGCAGGCCGAGGACGCCTCGGGCGGCCGCAACTTCCTGTCCGAGGACCGCGGCCGCTCCCGCCCCGCCAGGGGCGCAGCGCCGGCGGCGTCGCTGGCTGCTCGCTTTGGGGGGAGCTCCCGGGGTCCCCCCTCACGGAGCTGTGCGACTCTGGTTCGGCTCGAGTTCGGTTCGGGTTCGACTCAAGCTCGGCTCGAGCTCGGCCCCAGACGTTCGACGCAGCATCGGCGCACACGAGAAGAGCGAGTGGCTCCAGGAGGGTCCCCAGAACGAACGTCTGAGTGTCGCGCACGCTTGGTTGCAAGGATTTGTTTCTTGTCCTCTGGCGCGTAACGGTCGTTACCTGGGTTCAACCCCCCTTTCAGCCCCCCCTCGGGTACGATCGAACTGGGTACTGAAATAATGGGTACGAAGGCCGACAGCGGTTCTCCTCCCTTCAAGACAGGACCAGCTGTCGGTGTCTCCGCGGACGTTGTCGGTCTTGAACAACACTTGTTGTTGGGCATCGTACAGGGTCCGGCTTGTGAAGGGAACACTTTTTTTTCAAAAGGGGCTCGGTCGTTCCTTTGGTTTGCGTGCGCTCCGCTACCTTTTTGGCGGCGAGCCCTCCTGGTGTTCCCTCGGACTTCCTAGACTTACTTGGAAAAAAAACGGGGCTTCGTTCCTGACTTATCGCTCCTTAGGCCTGGCCGAATACTGTACCTATTTCCGCTTCCAAGCTACCCGGGCCCCCCCGGGTCTCCCTCCCCCCCGGGTATAGCGGTGACGGTCGTACGCCATGGGGGGCGGGCCTGGACCTCCCCCCCACATGCTGGTGCTGGAGCGCCTACGATTCAGATCGCAGCGCATCCCCTCGGAGGTCGATAGAGACCTCCTGCCCCGACACGTCGATTAGGGAAGTGGCCCTTTTCGGTTCGCGCGACGGCGTCGCGGCGGTCATTTTTGTTGCGGGTGCAGGTTCGTCGGTCTCGGTCCCGGGCCGTTTTCATTAAGGGGGGGTTTAGCAAAGAGAGGCTTGTGCACCGCCGATCCCCGCCCCGACGTGCCCCACCCCGTCCAATGCGTTACCCTTACCCGACATAATAAAATCAACAACAGTCTCAAGTCTTGCCTGCGACCAATGTCGAACCCTGCCCCACTCGACGCTGGGACGTCGGACACCCCCACTGGGATTCACGTGGCTGCGGACATCTTTCGAATTTTGAGCGCCAGTTGGCGCTGCAGAAATCTGGCCTGCTGGTGTCGGGTTCGCAAGTGGCTGCCCAACGTGGGAGACTCACTTCAGCATTGGCGCTGGTGCATCCTTGGTCGAAAGCCGTCTCATCCGGCTCAGTCCCGCCTGATCCGTCTTAACCTCGCTAAATCCCAGGCCCCATCAAGCCTAATGGCCTCAGCAATCTGGCCTAATAGCCCTTACGCCCCGGTCGTTGGAAGTAGGTTTTTTTTTTATCGATTCCCAGATCCCGAGATCTTTTAGCCGCCTTCCCACTCCAAGAGTGGAGTGGTCTTCTCCCTTCCCTCGTCCTCAGGGGGCGGGCAGACGCCCCATCCACTTTCAACGCCTTCCTGCTTCATGGTTCTGTCCACTTCTTCCGACCGACGGGTAGCCGTTTTCACGAGCCTCCCAGAGGTTGCCTTCTAATCTCTGTCGGAGTGCATTCGGGGTTGGTGTCAAACATGCCCATGCCATGCGTGTGCCTCGGCCCCGCAGGGGCCACGCGCACGCTCCGACATCTTGTAGTGGAGGCTCTGTGACTGGCGCTTTCTGCAGATACCGCGCGGGCAACGGAGTGCCGGACTTTGTTTATGATGCATGCTCGGTTCGGATGGGCGCCTTCAAGGCGCGTAGCACCACCGATATTTTTTGGGGCCCTGTCCTTTTTTGGTGCACTGTCAGCCGGTTGCAACGATCTGGGCACCAGCCCGTGCTCTCGCTCTGCTTAGCCGATTCTTGCAGTTCATTGTGCCAGCAACGTGCTACTTCACTTCCATCGAGGAAGGACAAACCGCAAACACATACACTTTGGGAGTTGCGCGCGGATCTCTTAGAACTGCGCTCGGCCTCCCTAGCGGCGCCTCCTGTGCCGCCCCTGGCGCGCTCCGCGCGCCAAGGAGGGTTGTCCAACGCAGATTAGGGAATCCGCTCGTGCCTGCGAAAGTTGATGTTGCTGATATTTGTTATTCTTCGATTCCAATCGTTGAGCATGCGGCAACTGCTTCCTCATGGGGCTGGCATGCAATGGCGGCCCCTTCTCTGGAGGCCTCACACCTCACGCACAAACCAGGACGTCTCCCCTCCATGGTGCAGGTGCCGCAGTCCTTGCTTCACGATGCCCAACGTGTGCCCAGCTGCATGCTGTGTTCTTGGGGTCCAGGCTTCCCGGTATGAGCGCAGGATCGCCACGGGGAGCCTGTGGGGGCATCCATCGAAGGAGGAACAACTGCGTAAAACACACGTTCGGAGCTGCGCGCGGATTTATTTGCATCTGCAGTGGGCCCCTCTGGCGGCGCCTGTGTCGCCGCCGCTGGCGGGCTCCGCACGCCAGAGAAGATGGCCCAGCGCCGATCCAGGAAGTCGGCGCGCGGATCTCCGACAGTTTAGTTCGGTCTTCCGTCACGGGGCCCCAGGGGGGGAGCAATCACTGCAGCGGGCGGTTGGCCCCTGGAAGCCTTCCAAGGTCGTGCGAGAGGGCGGTCCTGCGGTGACGCGCGGCCTCGTTGCGGCGGAGTAGCACTCGGTTGCTGTGGCGCTCTTGGTTGCGGCCTCAGCCCGCCGTGTGCTCGTCGGTCTGGCGGGCCCTCCTCCTCCTCCTCTCTCCTCCTCTCTCCTCCTCCTCCTCTCCTCCTCCTCCTCCTCCTCCTCCTCCTCCTCCTCTCCTCTCCTCCCTCCTCCTCCTCCCCTCCTCCTCCCCTCCTCCTCCTCTTCCTCCTCCCCCTCCCCTCCTCCTCCTCCTCCTCCTCCTCCTCCTCCTCTCCTCCTCCCTCCTCCTCCTCCTCCTCCTCCTCCTCCTGCTAGTCCCCCCCCGGGCTCTCTCCTGCGAGGGCCCAGCAGGTCGCCCCTTTCGCCTGCCCCGGGCCCCCACGTCCCTCCATCTTCCTCGCTCCTCCTCCTCCTCCTCCTGCTAGTCCCCCCCCGGGCTCTCTCCTGCGAGGGCCCAGCAGGTCGCCCGGGAAGGCTTTCGCCTGCCCCGGGCCCTGCGTGCACGTCCGCTCGCATGGGGGGGCACTTCTGCTTGGAGCCCGCCCGCCCCGGAGCGCGCTCTTACATTTTCGTTGCATTACGCCCCCCCCGCCGTCCCGTCTGCCCCATCCTCGCCCCCCCCCCCCCGCGGGAGGAGGCAGGGGGGAAGCCGGGGTCCTCCTCCCCCTCCCCCCTTCCTCCTCCTCCTCCTCCTCCTCCTCCTCCTCCTCCTCCTCCTCCTCCTCCTCCTCCTCCTTCCTCCTCCTTGACCCCTCCTCGCCCCCCCGCGTACCCTTCTGCCCCCATCGGGCCCACGCTCGGGCGTTCCCCACCCCCCCACCCCTGCTTCGCTTCGGAGGGGCGAGGGCGCGGCAGCTGCGCCGTGTGTGCCCGCCCTGGCTCTGCGGGGCCAAGGGACCCCCTTGTCCCAGCTCAGGCACGCCGACCGCCATGCCTTTGCCCACCGCCGCCGGAGGAGGAGGAGGAAGATGATGGGGATGATGCTGATGATGATGATGATGATGATGATGATGATGATGATGATGATGATGATGATGATGATGATGATGATGATGCTGATGCTGCTGCTGCTGCTGATGATGATGATGATGCTGATGCTGATGCTGATGCTGATGATGATGATGATGATGATGATGATGATGAGGACGATGCTGATGCTGATGCTGATGCTGATGATGATATGCTGATGATGCTGCTGATGATGATGAGGAGGATTCTGATAATGATGATGAGGATGATGCTGATGATGGTGATGCTGATGATGATGCTAATGATGTTGATGATGCTGCTGATGCTGATGATGATGATGCTGATGCTGATGATGATGATGATGATGATGCTGATGATGATGATGATGGTGGTGATGGTGATGGTGGTGATGGTGAAGGTGATGGCGACGAGGATGATGAGGATGATGCGGATGATGAGGATGATGAGGATGATGATGAGGATGATGAGGAGGATGACGATGATGAGAATGATGATGAGGATGAGGAGGATGATGAGGATGATGAGGATGATGAGGATGATGAGGATGATGAGGACGATGAGGATAATGAGGATAATGACGATGATGAGGATGAGGAGGAGGAGGAGGAGGAGGAGGAGGAGGAGGAGGAGGAGGAGGAGGAGGAGGAGGAGGAGGAGGAGGAGGACCTTGCGTCCCTCCCGCCTCTTCCCTCCTGCCTCCCCCATCCCCCCTTGCCTCCTCCCCCCTGCCTCCCTCCCGCCCTCATCCCTCCTGGCTAGTTCTCTCCTGCCTGCCGGCCTCCCCTCCCACCTCTTCCCTCCTGGACGCCATGCCCAAGGCCTTAAGTCTGGCATGTCCCTCTACAGGAGGAACATCGAAGAATAGTGAAACATAGTCCGGGAGCATGTTATGGTTGTTCGAATCATTTTTGCTCATTATTCTTTCAACATCCGCCTGTTGGAGGAGCATTTCTGGCCGAGACTGTCTTGTTTCCATACATCTGTCTTATGTTCTTCAGGAGGGAAAAAAACACACAGACACAATTAATCGTCGATTCCCAGAAAATATGGGAAAATATGGGAAGTGGGGGGGAAGACAAAAACCCAGAAAATATGGTAAAATATGGGGAATCCTTTTATTTGTGTGTATTTATTTGTGTGTCCTAATTTCCCTAGAACATGTTGGGCTCTTTCGTGGTTGGTCTACAGGAGTGCTGGGACGGTCGGCCCCTGCTCAGGCCCGACCCGAGCCAGCGGCCCCCATCGCTCCCCAGACCTCCCGCGTCGAGGCTCCAGCGAACCGCCTCCTCGTCTCATGGGCCTGTTTTCCACCACCACCACCATAAGTTGGAGGGGGAGGGGGTCCCTCCTCCTCCTCCTCCTCCTCCTCCTCCTCCTCCTCCTCCTCCTCCTCCTCCTCCTCCCTCCTCCTCCTCCCCCTCCAACTTATGGTGGGTGGTGGAAAACAGGCCCATCATCGTCCCCCCCCCCGGACCTCGTACGCCCGTGCCTCCCGCGCAGCGCGGCGGCCAGCACCCCCCCCCCTTCCCCGCCCCTCGGAAGCCCAGACCTCGAATGGCAGTTCCACTGGATTTCGAGATTCGGAGCCGCTGCAGTCACCCTCGGCCGCGCGCAGAGGGGGGTAGGGGGAGGGGGGAAGGCTTCTCAGAAGCACTCCTGCTCCTGAGAAGCCGCGGGCCTTCTCTGTAGACGTAAAGCCAGCGTTTCCTAAGAACCAGCCTCCTTCTAGGAAGCCTTTCCCCCCCTCCCTCTACCCCCTTGTGCGCGCCGCTAACCACCCGCATCGTAAGCATGAACGACTTTCCAAGATTACGCTTGCATCCTTCCCCTCCTGTGGCCCATCCTTGGCCGCTTTCGCTGGCCGCGCCCCGCCCGCCCAGTGTCGACATGGCCTTCCAAGGCCCTTGGGTCCTTACAGTTGACTGTTCGGAGCCCTCCGGGTATCAATCGATCCGACGCGATCAAACGCACAAGTCTACAGGCTCGAGATGTTTTAGATCTGCGTCCCACTCGAGCTATGCTCGAAACAACTAGCTCCGTGCTGCAGCTATCGCTCCCCGGGGCTGGTTTTTCATCGCGAGCCGCTTTTTGACAATCCTGGGGGCCCAGCGAGGGCTCCCCCAGGGCGAAGCGTGCCACAGATTTTCCGTCGCGGTTTCTCACTGGGAGGGAGGAGGGTCCTCGAGTCTTTTCGAGCTGTCAGCGTGGAACGCTGCAGATGGTCAGGCCTCCCGGATTGGGTCAGAGCAGACGGGGTCGGAGGATCGCGCCGCATCGCCGATGCAGTGGCGGTCGGCTCGATGTGGAGCCCGACTTGTTTCACGCTTAAGTCGGGCATATCCCTCTACAGGAAGAATATTCAAAATAGCCAAACAATAGCATAGGGGCCGTTTTTTTGGATTTTTTGTTTGTTTTTGATTTTTTTTTATCCCAAATCCAAGGCATTTGAACATGTTTGATTTTTTTTTTTTTTTTTTTTTTTTTTTTTTGTATTTTCAACTTTTTATTCGAAATCCGCATGTCTGGGGGACGTGCCCGACCTAAATCTACGCCAGCGTCGCCGATGCATCGACGAGGCGGCCCGATGCTCCGACCCCGTCTGCTCTCGTGGGCGAGGAGCACGTGCGCATCCGCGGCATCGCGGGCCGGGCCCCGTGGGCGGCGACTCCCCGCGGAGGGGGGGGGGGGCGATGTTTGGCCGCGGCTCCCCCTGGCGGGGCCTACACCTCGGGCGATGCCTAAGAAGACTTAAGTTTTCGGCCGGGGTCTCGATTATTCTTAACGTTTCCATGTCAATCTTAAGATTTTAATGGAAATGTTGGGTTTTTATCCAAGTTCTGAGACTATGAATTTCTTAACCCATGATTTCTTAAGCATTTCGCAGGGTGTAGCCAAGCGGCTGCGCATCCGCGGCACCGCGCCCTTGGAATCCAGGCCGCGAGGGCGCGGGCATTCGGGGACGGCAGAGAGGGGGGGGATGACTTAGGGGGGGGGGGATCTCATAGCAGGGGCCAGGTTCTCTCCTCGGATTTCATGGCGCCTCTTCTTGTTTTTGGTACGTCCGTGCCCCCCCCCCCCCCCCGGGCCGCGCGCGTGCCGCCGGCCGTGATTTGCGCTCCTCCCCCCTCTCTTGGACACCCCCCTCGTGGCCGCCCCCGAGATACGGATCTGTTCGCCGCTCGCGATACTCGGGAGGCCTCTGGACTGCTCCAGTCCCGGGCTCCGAGAAGTCCTGGATGGGCGCTGCCGGGCGCTCCCGCGGATCGCCGCGTGGCTCTTCGGGTGCCTTCTCGGGGGCGCGGTGGGCCCTCGCTTCCCACGCGGCTTGAGATGACGCGGCGGCCGGCATCACTGCACCCAGGCATGCTTATAATATGCTCGGGCCGAGGCATACGATCGAGGTCGGTTCGGGGAGGGTAATTACCCTGATGTCCTGCGTGCTTGTTGGAGGCTCCCCGTGCATCCTGGCGGATGGCGCCCTCGAGTGCTCTTCGGCTTGGCTGGCGTGGGGTCTCCTGCTCTTGCAGATGTGTGTGTGTGTGTGTGTGTTTGTTTGTGTGTGTGTGTGTGTGCCGTCGCCCCCCTCCTCCGCGGCGGCGCGCGCGCGCAGGGGTCTCGTGGTGTGTGGTGCCCGCGGGCGGATGCTTTTTTTCGGGCCGTGCCGCTCGGGTGACGGCAGTGTGGCGTGGTGCTGTGCTTCACCACCCACCAAACCACCCCAACCCAACCCGAAGTCCTCAAATTGACCTCCATTTCCAGTGGGGGGGGGGAACATCGAGAAAACACGTATGGAACCCGTACCCCCCCAACCCGAAATTCGGGTCTTCGGGTTGTGTTGGGGTGGTCTGGTAGGTAGTCAGTGCTGTGTTTTGGCGGGGGCTTGCGCCCCCGAGGGGGGCGCACAGTGCTCCGGGGCGGGAATTTGTCTATGACCACCGCCTGGGGGATCGGTCTTCGCTCGCGGACCTCCACAGGCGGTGGGTATGGGTATATTCGGCCCCCCCTGGGCCAGCATATATGCACGTATCCACCGCACGCCGGGGCACCAGGACGTCGATTCCTAGGCGGTGGACATGGATAAGTCCCCGTCTCGCAACAGTGCTAGCAGGTCCTTCCGCGTCCCATTTGAGCGACGCGGAGCAGCGGGGTCGTCTTCACCGACGCTGGCGCGTGAGCTCACCGCGGAAGGTCTCGGGTAAGCGCCCTCGTCTCCAGTGTGGCGTGCCGCGCTGGCGGTCCGCGTAAGCCATTGCGACAGGCCCCTATGCCATCTCGCGTAAGAATCCGTTCCTTTTCGTCGCGATGCGGCACTATGTGGAGTCCGATTTTCTCCACGCCGACGTCGCCGATACATCGCCGATGTCGCCGATGCATCGATGCATCGCCGATGTCGCCGATACATCACCGATGCATCCCCGTTGCATCGGCGATGTGGCCGATCTCATCTACCTGGATCCCATCTCGGAGGCCCCTACTATGGGGGCCGTCCCGTCTTGGGGGCCCCTCGCTCGTTGCGCCTTCCCCCCGCGCAGGACCGGCCCCAGACGAGCGGCGAGCAGCGCTTCTCAGTGCCCAGCGGGGGGATGCAGCACTCGAGCGCCGCTGGCGGGCAGGACCGCAACTGGCCCCTGTGGATCAAGCCATCGACAACACAGTTCTCTTCCTCCTCTTTCTCCTCCTCCTCGCCTGCTTGTGCCGAGCCCATCCCTGCTCAGGCCCTTCTTGGCGTGGTGCAGGTTCTGAGGCGGGAGGAGGAGGATGAGCAGCCCTTCCTTCGTTGTCCAGGGGATTCCGAGGGGGAGTCCTCCGACTTAATTTTCTGCCCTGGCGGCCAGTCCCTGGCAGTCCTCTGCCCTTGGGGCCTAGGTGTCAGCGGTGCACTGCAAAATTCGTCGTTCCCCAGACTTCAACGTACGGTGTCGAAAACAATACGGATGCTTTTCGTCGTTATCGGTCTATGGGGGCCCTCGCCGATCCCCGGGACCGTCAAGAAATGACTCAGGATGTCAATACAGCAGATTTCTGGGTCCTCGTGGAGGAGAAGGCTCATGGTGATGAGGATACTGATGACGAGGAGGAGGCGGAGCAGGAGCAGGAGAAGGAGGAGGAGGAGGACGTTTTCTTGTTTGGGGGCTCCCCATTGGTTTAGGAGGTTAGCGAGGGGGCGGAGGGGAGGAGTATGAGGACCTGGCGCTCCAGGTGATCCTGCCGCTCCTGCTGCTGCTTCTCCTTATCGTCAATACTCTCTCCTCGCACTCCTAGTCATTCCGTTCTCTGTTTTCCCCTCCGGTCGCTCGCTTCCACACGTTACCTTTGCATAATTTTGCCTCGCTCTTTTCCTCCTCATCTCTCCGCTCTGATCGTTCCTGTCTCCTCGCTCCTCGCTCTCCTACTCTTTCCCCATTTTGAGTGCTGCTCACGCTCTTGATTTCATCGGCCGTTCCAGCACGTAGGGTGTCGCGCTCAGGATGTCAATCACTGTTTCGCTCCATTGTTCCGCTGTGCGTGTTCAGCTCGGAACGTCATCGGTCGCTCCGAACGGAGCCCTCGCCTCGGCGCCTGCCAATGTCTGGTTCAAGGCATCGCCTGGCTGATCATTGTGATGCCAGCGCGTGGAGCCCACAGGTTTTTTTTCCAGCATTCGCGATGCACGGTGTCTGGTGCGCAATCCGTGTATGATGCAGCATCTGTGGTGCGGTGCAGCATGCCCAGTGCAATCTATATGGACCACCCATTGCGCGGCAGCCTAAGTGGTGAACCCACCTTGCAGGACTTGAAACCGTCATCTTAACTGCTCGCGCAATCACCCCACCCTGCCACCCGCAACTTTTTTTGCACAGCCCATGCGGCCGCGATTGCGGTGACTACTTGACACTGACTGGCGCATCTCCTCGGCTGCGCTAGCGCGCGCAAGGTTGCGCACAGAGCGGCCAGCTGGCTTGGCACATCTGACGTGGCCGCGATGTCGCTTACCCGATGAGATCTTTCCCGTGGCAGCGCTGGCGCATGGGCACGTCAGTTCGGGTCGGTGATTCGGGCGGGCGCGGTCTCATGATGACGTTGGCAACGGCGGCAACGACGATGGTAGTAGCGATGGTGATGGCGATGATGACTATGACCATGGCAAGGCCAGCGATGGTGCCGATGCTGGCGACGATGATGGCGATAATTATGTCCATGTGTGGGTTTGGCGGGGGCTTGGCGGTGATTGACGATGACGATAGCGACGGTGATGCGGTGGCGCGCGCAGGGTGATGGCGAGTGAGTGCGCGCGCGCAGAAGTGCAGGGCACCTGGCAGATTTTGGACATCTGTTTTTGAGCCAGAATGTATTGAACCGATCTGTTTAAAGCTGTTCTGGAAACTTTTGCTGGTGAAGTGCCCTTACATTGACAGTTGTGAGTACGGCGTTGTGGGTACCGATTTCGGTGGGGCTGCATATGGGGCGACGAAGCGTGTGAGGGGTGTGCCGAAATTGATGTTGTGGTGGCATGCTGACACAGGTATGATGGCCTTCGGTGGAGCTCTCTATGGAGCCACGAAGCGTGTGAGGTGTGTGTGTGTGTGTGTGTGTGTGTCGAAATGGATGCGGCGGCGCCATGCGAACGCAGCCACTGGGGCCTTCGGTGGAGCTCCCAATGAGCCCACGAAGCGTGTGAAGGGTGTACCGACATGGGTGCGGCGGTGCCATACGAACTTTGCTTTTGGGGCCTTCGGTGGAGTTCAACACATGAGCCAACACCACTGGGGCATGCGGGGCTCTGTCTCTGCAGAGTCAGGAAGAAACACCACAGGGTCGTTGGGAGTCAATGGTCTTGGACGGATTTCTACTGGCGCGCGCGTGGTGGCGCGCGTGTGTGGCCCGCATTCGATCATGTGATTATGGTTCGTGCATTGGGCGCGTGCCAGATCAACGCGGATGCACCGCGTGGTGAGATGGGAATGCGTGTTCTGAACCAGAGTGATGGTATCACAAGTTTTTCTTCTGCGAATCGTCTCATATGCAAACATTACGATGCATAGACATTACATGCGATGCTTTTACGTCGAACTGCGTTCACGACGAGTGTGTCTGATATGATTTAGAGGTGTGCGCGCGTGTGGACTTCGCAAGTTTTTTTTGTTCATGAAGTGGTTGTTTGCATGCGTGCGAGTGTACGAGTGTGCGCGTATAGTACTGCTCGACGTTGCCGACGGGTTGGGCGATACCCCGTTGGGCTAGAATGGCAAGCTTTTGAATGGGAATCGAACGACGCGGCAACGTCCTATGCAATCTGTTGTGTCCCAGGGGCCCCCGTGAACCCCAGGGGAGGGGGAGGGTGGTGGAGTCTACGTTCTGTTGAAAGAAGAACAGATGTGGTGCACTATGCGAGGTGTCTTATTGTTTGTGCCAGCCAGAGGGCACCAACCCAAGAGCACCGACACCGGGGCCCCGACCAGGACCAGCCGACTGCAGCCCAGAGGGCCTGCCATGGAGTACCACAGCATACGGCAGGCTCGCCTTGTGCCGCCTGGCGGCGGCCCCATCGCCAGCGTTCAACGTGGAACGCCACCGGAAGCCCAGAATCGGTCGATGTTGAACGATCTTGCGTTTTCGGACAGCGGCCGATATTTGAAGGTGGATCAGGAGGGAAAAAACACACACAGACACGATTCATCGTCGATTCCCAGGAAAGTATGGGAAAATATGGGAAGTGGGGGGGAAGACGACAACCCCCCAAAATTGAAAAATATGGAGAATCCTGTTATGTGTGTCTATTTGATTGTTGGTCCCCGGGCCCCTTCAGTGGAACGATCCCCGCGGTGTCAGAGTCCAGCGCCGAAGTCGGTACGCTGCGGCCCTGCCAGAGCTGAGCCGCTAGCCGCAGGGCACCGGCCCGGAGCAGCCGACCGCGACGCCGAGGGCCAACCGTGGGGCACCAGAGGACGCCAACGCATAGGGCACCATCCGTGGGGTACCGATTCTCCGAACTCGAAGTGCGAACGCTGCTTGGATCATAGTTCCTTGTCGACATCCTCTCGCCTCTGGCCCATGACTCCAGCTTGCTCGGCTCGGGGTCCTCCGCTGGCGGACGCAATGGGTGGTTGAACCATGTTTACGCCAGACAACTGAAGAGCGTAGCCGTCACGGGGCCTCCAGCAGCACGGTCTTTCCGAATCAAATTCGTAGGCATGTCGTCGCAGCGCGTCGCTTCCACTTCCTCAGGTGTTTGACCGATTCCGATTCGAGCAGTCGCTCGATTCTGCGACGGCTGGATCGACTACGCTGGACATGGCAAAGACCGCCACCCCGCTATCAGACCCAGCGAGGACCGAACGTGACTCTGCAAGGCTCTTTGCAAACATGCACAGAATCGCAGCTAGCCCCGCGCTGACCACCTCTACTGTAGCCCTCCGACTCTGATTGGATATATGTGCCTCTCTGGTGAAAAAAGGCCTGCGGCGAGTCACCGCCCCCTGCCTTTTAAAAGCGCCTCTGTCGTGAACAATCGAGCGAAAACGCGGCCACTTTGGTGGAATGCGTGTTCAACCAGCCGTCGGGGAAACCACTCGGCAGGTACCCTCTGCGGACATCTCCAGGTTTTCTGGGGCGTCTTTTATGCCCAGCCTCCTTGGGGGGTTGGGGCACTCTCAGGCCATCTGACATCTCTCATCGGGCCATCTTGGAGAGCTCTTTCGTCGGCGGTCTGGCGCCCGGCCTCTCTGGGCCGGCGTGGGGCCCTCTTCTGGGCCGTCTCTGGGCCTTTCGGGTCGTCTTGGGCTACGTCTGCAATCTGGGGACCGACTTAGGGTACTCCTGGGGCCCTTTTTGGCCTTCTTGGGCTGGTCACGGAGGCTCTTGAGACCGAACAGACGATAACCCGATCATCGCTGACAAGCCATATGTGCTTCAACATCTTTTGCATCTCGGAGGCGCTCTTGGGAGCCTCTTGGAGACCTCGTGCGCTTTGGGGCCTCTTGAGCTAACTTGAGGCCATCCTGGGCCGTCCTAGGGCCATCTTTAATTTCTTTGAGGCATCTAGTCAGAGGAGCATGAAGTATTGATATTGATAGTTTTCCAGATTTCCAGATTTTCCTGTTCTTCCGCGGGGGCTCCAGGGACGAATGGTCGAGCGCATTCCGTCGCGCAGGTTTTTTGCGTGATGTTCGCGGTGCGTTTTTCGCGCACCGGAGCGCTTTCGAAGATTCCAAGCTGCATGCTGTGTTGCTTTTGGGGAGTCCGCGAGTCGCAGCTGCCGTGGCGCTGTTTTCGAGGTAGCCCCTTCGAGTGCTGTTCGCGGGTGCAACGCGCGGCGCGCGCTGCGCCCAATCGCGCGCGGCGCGGCGCGTGAATCAGCCGGCCGCGCCCGTCGGACCGCCTGGACATTATTTCTGGATTGTAGAGTGTGTCAGAAAACGCTTCCGCTTTTTTCCGCGCAAGCGGTTCCGGAATTTTTCAAAAAGAAGCCCGGAAATTTTCAAAAAACAGTTTTGAGGGGTGGAATGCGCCCGCCGCGCAGGACATCTGAAGAGTTCCGAAATCCGGACATTTCCAAAATGGAGTCCGGAATTTTTCAAAATCGATCCCGGAAATTTTCAAAAACGATCCCGGAAAATTTCAAAAAGTAGGCCTGACATGTTCAAACATGTTCCCCGATTTGTTCAATTTTACCCCCGGGGAATTTTCCAGAGTCGAGCATGCTTTGCCTTGCCAGGTCTTTGGGAATCCGCCGAGGCGCGCGGTGCGCGGCGGCGGGCGATGGCACGGTGCGCCACCGTCCCCTCCGCGCTCGGCAACGAGAGGGGGGGGTCAGCAATTGCCAAATAGCCTTTTACGGGCGACCACTCGATTGCGAATGGCTGACTGACCAGCGGCGCCAGCCAGAGTAGACAAACCTCGACGCCAGGTGTACCCCGCGCGAAGGCTGTTAGAAATCCCGGAATTTCCGGAACGTATCAATAGCACGTTGTGTCAATAGATTCTTCCTGTCCTATCTAGAGCCCACTTAGAAGCCACTTAAGCCACCGACTCGATGGCGACCCAGGCTCTTCTTGGAGCCACCTTGGACGGAAATGCCAATGGAGTCGGGCTTTAACGGGATCAGGCGGGACTTACAGAAGGCCTTGTGGGAACAATTTTGTAAGGGCAAACGCGTGTTCTAAGCCTAGGAGTGTCAGGCACCTTTGTGGCAAGCATATGGTCGGCGCAGCAAGGACTCCCACGGTGAGCCGTCGCCGCCCCGCGCCGACGAGGCCTGATTTGGGACTCCTGGGTCATCTTCGAGACCATCGATGGCCGTTTTGTTTGGGTCATGCACGGGACCATCTCAGGCCATGCCCTCTTCCTTGGAGGGGCGTTTTGCTGACTCGGCGGGGGTTCGGGGTGCCAGCGCCAGGTACCCCTGTGGCAGGCACCGGGGGCGGCGGATCTCGTTGCCCCTCCTGGGGGCTGCTCGGAGGGACCTGGGGGGCCTCTCGGAGGCCTGTTTGGGCCTCCTTTGGGCCTCCTCGGGGCCTTCCACGCTTCTCTCCTGCGAGCCCTACCTTTCCAGCATCCCCGCCGCTCTTCCGAGAGGACCACGACCCGGATGCGGGGGACAAGCGCGCGCCGGTGGTCGGGTGTTCGTCAATGGGGGGGCCAGTTCGCATGGGGGGAAGAAGTTCAAGAGCGTTCCAGAACGCTCTCACCTCCGCAAAGCTCTTGAGAAGGCCGCGGCGCCCGAGACCGCCCGATCCCACAGATGTTTGCCTTACGGTAGGTTTGTGTCGTGTCGACCGGCGGCGACCCCCGCGCGGGCGTTCAAGGTTGAACGCCGCTGGCGACCCAGAATCGATCGATGTTGAACGATCGGACGTTGCGGAGACGGCCGATCGTTCAAGGTTGAACGATCCCTGCGGTGTCAAAAACCAACGCCGGGGTCGTCACGACACGAACCTGCCGTATCCTCGCCCGATTTTATTCTCGTCCTGGCTGTTCGTCTTGGTGCCCCTTCTGGGCTCGTGCTTGCAGTTTGGGGCCCCACCGTCGATCCGATCCCCCTCTTGCCGTCCAGTCGTTTACGTCTTCGTGGAGGCCTTGCAGTGCGGCGCAAGGGCTCCCTCGAGGGCGCGAGGTTATTCGCGCTTCGCGCTTCGCGGTCCTCGTTACTTCTCCCCCTCCTCCTCGTCCTCCTATTCTCCCTTTGGGAGGGCGGCGCGAGAGCGCGAAGTTATTCGCGCTTCGCGCTTCGCGCAGCGCGAAGCGCGAAGTTGGGAGCCCTAGTGCATTTCACCGGCAGTGATTGGTGGACGGTTGGCGTAGGGCGCGTGCCGCTGTCTGCTACTGACTGGCTGCCGCGATCCGCCGAGATCTGCGGCTCCTCGCCGCCATCTGCCGCGCGAAACCGCCAGCATCTTGGCTGAGAGTTAGGCTTCCGTGACAGTGACCGTCAGTCCACCCGAGGTGGGCCAGCCCATCCGCCACCTCTCGGCGCTGCAGCAGTGCACCGGGGAGGCGAAGTACGTGGACGACATGCCGGCCTCCCAGGAGCAGCTGTCTCTCCGCCGTTCCCGCCGCTCGGCGCGGCCTCGCGTCGCGGGCCCGGCGCCGCTCGGGCGGGCGGGCTCCCTTCGGCGGCATGCCATAGGAGTCTTGTGTGTTATTTTGCTTCCTCCTCCTCTCCTCCAAACCTTTCTATGTGTCTCGCACTGCATGTATCCAGACGCGCGTCTTGGGCTGACTCGGGTGCCTTTTGGACCCTCTCGGAGACTGTCTTGTATCCTCCGAGCCCGTACCGTCCTTTTCGCCCCCCCACCGTGTCGGTAACGAACGTACGCGGCGGGGCATGGCGCGAAGTGCGCAGGCGCAAACAGCAGACGCCACGCATTGGCACCGCGAGGTGGCGAAGCGGGAGGAGGCCACGGGCCACGGGCGATGCTCGAACGGAGAAGTGTGTGGCGCTTTTCGGAGGGGAGTGCGGGCGGGGCGGGGAGTCAGAAAACCACCAAACGGAGCGGCGACAGTGTGAATTGGAGGTGCGCAGAGGGGAGGGGGGAGGGCGGGATTCAGAGCGAACCATGAGACGGCGAACCAGGAGAGGAGAACCGACGCGGAATGGGACGCAATCCCCTGCGGGGCGTCAGGTTGCCGGTGTGCACTGGGGGTCTCGAAATTTCGCGAGATTCCCTCGTCGAGGAGCATCGGCGAGACAAAGGGACAGTGCTCTGCGGGGAAGGTCGCACACGGGGCGTGATCGCGAGGATTTTTTTGCGCGGTGTGCGACCAGGGATTCCAGCGGCAGGGCCACATCAGCAGCGCGCAGCAGAAGGTACACCTCGCTAGGGGAGCGGAAGTAGTGTGCGCAGGGTGCACGGGCCTCGGGGTCGCGGGGCGCAGTTGGCAAGTGCACGGGGGAAACGGGCGCGTGCAAGAGGAAATTACCGACGTCCGCGTGTGCGGGAGGGGCCCTTTTCGCGCATTCCGTCAACCATTGCGCCCTCGAGTGCAATGCGCGCGGAATTTTTGTTTTTGTCGGCGGGCGCTTACGAGATGAGGGTGGCGATGGCGCCGAAGGGGCCGAGCGCGAAGGAGAATGAGGAGGAGGAGGAGGAGGAGGAGAATGGCGAGGACGAGGGCGAGGAGGAGGATGACTATGAGATGGAGGACGGGAAGGAGGAGGAGGTGGAGGAGGAGGAGCAGGAGGAGGAAGAGGAGGAGGAGCAAGTGGGGTAAAACGAGGAGGATGAGGACGAGGAGGAGAGGAAGGATGATGATGATGATGATGATGATGATGATGATGATGATGATGATGATGATGATGATGATGATGATGATGATGATGATGATGATGATGATGATGCTGCTGACGATGATGATGATGATGCTGCTGCTGCTGCTGCGCTGATGATGATGATGATGATGATGGTGATGATGATGATGATGATGGTGTGGTGGTGGTGGTGTGGTGGTGGTGGTGATGGTGGTGATGATGATGATGATGCTGATGGTGATGATGATGATGACGATGACGATGATGATGATGCTGATGATGATGATGATGCTATGATGATGATGCTGATGGATGATGATGAAATGATGATGCTGATGCTGATGCTGATGCTGATGCTGCTGATGATGATGATGATGATGATGTGGTGGTGGTGGTTGTGGTGGTGTGGTGGTGATGATGACGATGATGCTGATGATGGATGACGATGATGCTGATGCTGCTGATGATGATGATGATGCTGATGATGATGATGCTGATTATGCTGCTGCTGCTGATGAATGATGATGATGATGGCGGATGATGATGATGATGATTGATGATGATGATGATGATGGATGCTGTGCTGGTGCTGATGATGATGATGATGATGCTGATGATGATGATGCTGATGCTGATGCTGATGATGATGATGATGACGATGACGATGACGATGACGATGATGATGCTGCTGCTGATGATGCTGCTGCTGATGATGATGATGATGATGCTGATGATGATGAATGATGATGATGATGATGATGATGATGATGATGATGATGATGATGAGATGATGTGGAGGAGGAGGAGGAGGAGGAGGAGGAGGAGGAGGTGGAGGACGAGGAGGATGACGAGGAGGAGGTGAATAGATATGAAGAACATCGCGAACGACGGAACAGAGGGATATCTACAGGAAGAAAAGGTCGATCAGGTAGCGAGGGGGAGTTGTTACCTTTGTCAATGTCGTTTGCTGTGTGTGGACGAGCCGCGATTTGGCCATGTAAACTGGGGGCTTGAAGGGAGGAGGAGTGTGGGAGGAAAAGGAGAGATCGCGAGCCTGGAAACCGAAAGGGGCCGGGGGAACCCAGCCAGTCTCGCCACTGTGGCTGGGTTGTGGGTCGGGGTTTTCTAGATGCACAAGAGGGCCCGAAGACTGATTCCGGAGGGGCCGTCGGGATGCATGTCTGAGGCCTCCTGGACTTGCCTTGCGCCTCGGGCGACCATTCTGCGGTCTCGTCGGCGCCATCTTATGAGGGGCTTTGGGCGCCATCTTGAGAGAAAAAGTCGAACTGTCAGTTCGTGTCCCCCCTCTTGGACCCTGCGGACCCTGCGTGGGGCCATCTTGGGATCCTCATGGGGCTCTCATGTGGGCCCCTGGGCCGCCTTGGGGCACGCTCGGGTCGTCTCAGGGTCTTTTCGGGCCCCCCCTGGGCCGCCTTGGGCGGAACTTGAGTTTCTCAGGCAGCCTTTGAACGCAAGGGAGGCGAGCAGGCCAGGATGCCCAAATCCTTGGGGAAACGAGAGCAGCACCAACAGCTTTTGCCTCCTGGGGCCCTCTCCTGGGGGCCCCCTCGGAGCCCTGCCGTGGCGTCCTCGAAGCCTCGGGGGGCCGTTTTTGCCACGGCGGGCACCTGGGGAGCGCTCGCGGCGGTGTGTCGGGGGTCACTTAAGAAGTGCTCTGGGGGACTCTCGCTCGTGGGGCCCCCTGGGCGCGGTGTTGGGGCCCCGGCAGGTCGGCACAAACCCCACAGGGGCTCCACCCATGAGGGCGGGCGGGGGGCAAACGCGCCGTTTGGGACCCCCAGGGGATTGCAAAAAAACGAGGGATTGCAAAAAAGCCCAAGAAGGATGGCAACAAAAACGAAGAATTGCAAAAAAAAACGAAGGTTTTTTTGCAATTCTTGGGTTTTTTTGCAATCGATCGCACGGAGGATACATGTCACGAGCCCAGAGGCCCAGAAGGGGGTGGCGGACTCGGCATTCCTTCTGGTAGTGCGATGAGCGTCAGGCGCCAGAGATCCCAAGCGGAACTGCAAAAAGCATCCGGCACGGACTCCAGCTTCGGCTAGGATCGCCTCTGGGCCCAGCCTTCCTCGGCCCGCGGGATCAGGCCGGGGAAGCTCAGCAGTGCAGCAACCCTGATATCTGACCATGCGAGACGCATGCAATATCGCTTCAGATCACGACCAGAGTCCGAGAGTTTAGACCCCACCCACCTTTGAGCCAGATCAATCTGTGATGGTCTTGGGGCCCGAAGCCAGAGAAAATCTCCAGGTGTGAATCAATGAGCTCGGCGTGACCCCAATGAGGGGAAAGCTTCCTTTTTTGCATGGGCGCAGTGCTTGCCACTGCTTGGCATTACTTGGCATTGCTTTGCATGAGGCACTCGGGGAACCCGAGGGCTCTAGGGAACGGGCAGAGTAAGCCCCCGAGTCACCAACCTTTAACCAAGTAAGAGCCCCTGAGGCAAGCCTGCGTTGGGCAAATGCAGCGCTCGGATCTTCAGGGCACTGCGTTCTCGTTCCCGCCGCACGCCCGCCGCGTCTCGGGATGCCCGAGGACACGCTCCACGCCGCCTTCGTGCTCAGCGAGCGGGCGCGCGCCAAGCTGCTCTCCGTGGACGCCTCCGCGGCTCTCGCGCTCCCCGGCGTCAAGGGCTTCTTCAGCGCGAAGGACATCGACGAGCACGACAACGTGTGGGGCCAGGGCCCCAGGCGCACGAGCTCCCCGCTCTCAGGCCCGGGCTTTGCACTTCGATCTGGCTCGAGGAGTGTTGCAGAGAAGGGTGGGGTCTGGGGCTCCGCTCGTGATTGTTCGTGATGCGTTTTTTCCGCAACGCCGGATCGTAGGGCGGTTCGAGCCCAACCCGTCGCCTCTTGCCGTTGGTCGGGTCTGCTGCTGCATCTGAGCACTTCTTCCCTTCGGGATGGGTATCGAGCCCCTGGAAGGGCCAGTCTGGCTTCGGGCGTCCCGTGGACTGCTCAGGCACTCTTGGAGGCCCTGGGGTGCGGCAGGAGAGATGCGAGAAGCGAATGCGAAGCCGATCTGGAACGTTAAGCTTATATACCCATCCAAGGTGTTTGGAAATGTTCTCTTTCGACCGCAAGCTCGATCTGTTCACTCGACCTTTGGTGGTGGTCAATTCGCCACGATGCGCACCGAACCTGGGCTGAAAGTAGCGCCCCAGTCGAGCCGATCGATGATGTTTCGTGGGGTGCATGTAAGGTCCGATCCTGCCGGATGAGCAGCTCTTCCGCAGGAGTGAGGTGACCTCGACTGGCCAGATTATCGGAGTGGTGGTTGCTCAAACGCAGGAGCAAGCAGATGCTGCAAGGCGGCTGGTGAAAGTGGAGTACGAGGACCTCGAGCCTGTGCTCACCATCGAGGACGCCATTCGGGCCAAGAGTTTCCATCAGTGGGTGCGCAGGATCGACGACGGCGATGTGGACGCAGCGTTTGCGTTGCCCGACACCGTGATCGTGGAGGGCGAATTCCGCATGGGTGGGCAGGAACATTTCTACCTGGAGACGAACGCTTGCCATGTTGTGCCTGGTGAGGGCGACGAGTTGACGATTTACGCATCGACCCAGGCCGCCATGAAGACTCAGAAGGTTGCAGCTCATGCTTGCGGCATTCAAGCTTCTAAGGTGGTGTGCAAGGTGAAGCGCATGGGAGGCGGGTTTGGTGGCAAGGATTGGGGCCTTTCGAACAGTCGTGGGTGTCCGTCGTTTCTCAGATGTGGCTCTGTGTATTTCCTACGTTTGTGGGAATCAATGTTTGAGCATGCCATCTTGCATAGACTGCGCTGCGTGTCTGAAGCTGGCTGAGTCGTGTCGCCCAGATCCGTCGCGTCGTCTTCAGGGTCGTTCCTCTACTCTCACCATGAGCTGCTCATGCTGTGCTTGCTGTTGCCGCTGCTCCGCTCCGTCTACATACTCCATTTTCTGTTTCCATCATCGTCCTGCTTCTGTTCCTGCCTCTACCTTGATCCAGCTTGAAGCAGCGTGTCATCGGAGATTTCATTATCATGTTCGTCCACACCCTCCTCCCCCTCCTCCTCTTCATCTCCGTCTCCACCTCTCCCCGCCTTCCTTTCCTTGGCATCCTCCCTCCCACCTCACTCCTTTCTCATCCACCTCTCCCCCCTCCCCTTTCCATGCCCAGGCCACGTTCATGAAGCATTCACAATCCGTTGTTTTCTACAACATTGGTTCCCTTTGTTCCTGTTTCTTCCCAGCTCATCTCCCGGGTCACTAATTGAATCAGGCAGGCGGGGAGGGAGGCATGGAAGGGAGGTGAGGCCTTACAGAACAAGGGAGGGGGAGGAGAGGCGATGCCGCGTAGCTTGTTGCGGAGGCCGCGTTGTGTTGTCCGGGCGACCAGCTGGGCAAGCTCCCTCGTCCTCTCCCTATTCTCTGGGAGGGCTGCCGCCCGCAGCACGGCTTTGGAGCGCACGACGTGTGTGGCAGAACGCTAGCCACGAGCCACCTTGAGGGCGCCCGCCTGGCTGGCAGTTCACCGGAATGATCCTCCCCGAAACCTTCTTGGCCATTTCTTCTTCTGGCTCCGCCCCCGCTTTGTGCTTCTCGACGCTGGAGAAGACGCGAGCAATTCAAACCCAGCGGGCCTCGCTTCAGCGCAGGGTGCCTGTGTGACGCATTCGCGCTACCACCATGATTGCGACCGACGCGCGCGCCATGCCACCGACGCGCGTGCTCTTATCAGGCTGCGGCGGCCAGCCCCGCACCGATTTTGCAGCCCGATGCTGCCCCGCTCTGTGCCACGCGTGTGCCTAACTATGAAGCGTTGAGTGGTTGTATGTGAGTGTGTGTTCGGTACGTCAGGGTAGCAGCAACCATGCTGGTGCTCTGCTTCGAGCAACCTCTGCTCACGCCCTTGTATGGTGGCCCCATAAGAAGCTCAAGAGACTCAGTTCTCACCGCACGGGGGTGACTGCGCATTTTCCGCGACGCTGAGCGTATAGTCAATGTAGTGTCTGCGAGCAGCTCCTGCTTTCAAGGGCATGCGTGGGCTTGCCTCCTTGACTACCACGGTTTGTGCGCACACAGCATGTCTTCGGTACTTCCCCTCGCCAATCCGGATTTTGCCACCGCCAGCTTTGCATCCAATCAACCATCCGTCCATGCCTCCCTCCTCTCTCTCCTCAGCTCCCCTCCGACCTCCCCGGGCCCCCTTCTCCCCTCCCTGCCCTCCTCTCCTCTTCCTCTCCTCACCTCCCTTCCATCCCCCCTGACCTCCTTCCTTTCCTCGAGCTTTCCTTCTCCTCCTCCTCTTCCTCCTCCTCATCCTATTTCTCTCGGTATCACCTAAGCATGCTTACTTACACATGTGTGCGTCGGCACCTCAGGGGCGACGCGCGCGCGCTCAGAACTCTTACAGTACATCATCGATGGTGGGCGCTTTCTGGCCATACCGACTGGGTACCGATATGCTATACTATGTTCGTGCTTTTTGCTGGGTTCGGGGGTGCGCTTTCAGGGTGGGCGCATACTTGGACCACCGCGGGGACTGCTGAGGGGATACGGGAGTCTACTTGCAACCCGCTTCTAAGCTTCGTTTGGCCAGACAGTAACCGCATTAGCATCCTCTTCTACTTCCCCGTACCCCCTTAACAGCCCCCGAGATGGTCCAAGTAGTACTCGGCGGCGAGCGAGGGGGGGAAGTCCCAGAAGGCTCCGAGTAGAGGGCCTCCTCAGAAGGCGGCGGGACTTCTCAGAGAAGCCCCGGCGCCTTCTGAGAAGACTGTTTGTCTTCGGGGAAGGTCTAGAACACCTCTCAGAAGGGCGGCGAGGGACTCCCGAACCTTATGAGCATGACTTCTCCTTCCCCCTTCCCCCCCCCCTTGGCTCGCCGCCGAGGCACTGGCATGCCCTCCCGAGCCCCTCCCGCTCCGCGGCCGCCCCGGTGAGGAGACGCGCACCGTCATCGTCTCCTCGGCCGTGGCCTTCGCCGCCCACCGGCTCCTTCGCCGCCCCGGCCCACGTCGAGCCCACGCCTTCCTCCGGGGCAGCGCCAGGGCGGGCTCGACCTCCTCGTCCTCCCCCTCCTCCTCCTCCTCCTCCTCCTCCTCCTCCTCCTCCTCCTCCTCCTCCTCCTCCTCCTCCTCCTCCTCCTCCTCCTCCTCCTCCTCCCTCCTCCTCCTCCTCCTCCTCCTCCTCCTCCTCTCCTCCTCCTCCCCCTCCTCCTCCTCCTCCTCCTCCTCCTCCTCCTCCTCCTCCTCCTCCTCCTCCTCCTCCTCCTCCTCTCCTCCTCCTCCTCCTCCTCCCCCTCCTCCTCCTCCTCCTCCTCCTCCTCCTCCTCCTCCTCCTCCTCCTCCTCCTCCTCCTCCTCCTCCTCCTCCTCCTCCTCCTCCCCCTCCTCCTCCTTCCTCCTCCTCCTCCTCCTCCTCCTCCTCCTCCTCCTCCTCCTCCTCCTCCTCCTCCTCCTCCTCCTCCTCCCCCTCCTCCTCCTCCGAGGTTCTGGAGGTTCTCTGGCGCTCTCTTCGGTTCTCGGCGGTCTTCTGGCCTCGGGATGCGCTCCAGTGGCTGCGCTTCGCCGAGGGCGTTCCGGGGGTGCCCCCTGCGCGTCCCGCGCGGCACCCGGCGAGCCGAGCTGTGGCCCAAAAGCTACCAGGCGTCTGAGATGATGGGCCAATTTTCCACCACCGCTACCATGGGTAGGACGGGGGAGAAGGGAGGATTGGGAGTCCTCCTCCTCCTCCTCCTCCTCCTCCTCCTCCCCCTCCTCCTCCTGCCTATGGTAGTGGTGGTGGGAAATCGGCCCATCATGAGAGGGGGCAGGCCCTCTCATGGGCCAACGTTAGGGGGGGGGATCGGCTCAGTCAAGCCGTTGCGAAGCGTCCTGGCTCGCCTAAGTATAGGCCTACAGGAGACTGGTCTAAGAACCTCTTGTGGTCTGCACGAGGTGTTCTCAGAACATGTCTGGCCGGGACTGTCTTGTTCTAGCCCATCGGGCTTATTTTCCCAGAACGTGGCTATTGTTCGTAGAACATTTCTGAGTTCTAAGAACATGTTGTGGTAGGCCTATAGGTATGCCGTGCCTGGAACGAGTGGGCGATTGGGGGGCTACAGCGCCCCCCAATCGCCGACTCGTTCCGACAGGGGGGGCCCCACGGCCCGCTGTCTGCCCAGGGAGCGGGGGCGGCCAAGAGGGGGGTGATGACCAGGGGTCGATTAGGGGATCGACTAGATCGACTACAGTCGGGGCCCTGAAGAAGGAACCCTTTTCGTTGGGGAGGGGCTCCGCGTTCCTTAAGTGTTTCGCAGCTTGCCTCAGGTTTTCCTCAGGTTTTCGATAGGAAATCGAAGGTTAACTTATGGAAAGCAGGGGCCTCGTTCCTTATTTTGGGTTCCTTAGGTCAAGGCCGCGACTGTACAACATTGATTTACCCTGAAATTGGTTTTCTAGTCGAATGTGCAAACGAACGCGCGTAACGCTTGTAGATCTGCGGGCATTATACGCACTGGTTCATGGACCTGACCACCAAATATATATTTTGGGGCAAATCAATTCTGTAGGGGATCCCCTACTCGAAGGGGGGGGGTGGATCTCATGGCGGGGGCCATGAGATCTCCCCAGATTTCATGGCGCCTCGTCTGATTTCGATACGTCCCCGCCCCCCCCCTGCCATGGGCCGCGCACGTGCCGCCGGCCGTGACTTGCGCCCCCCTTCTCGTGGACGCCCCCCTCTTGGCCGCCCCCGGAGGAGCGTCCGGTTTGGCTAGCGGGGGCCCGTCGCCGATCTGTCGGCGATGCATCGCCGCTTCCAGCTCCCCGTTTCCCCCCCCCCCCCCCCCCAAGCGATGGAAACAATCCGCGCGGAGGTGTGTCGCAGCCGTCGGCCTCCAGGGGCCCTCGCCGGGTCCTGGGGCCGTCAAGCAGCCTCTCGGGGTGCAGTGCCGGCCCTGGGGAGAGGGTCGGGGCTTCCGGGGACCCCGTACCAGACGAACCAAGACATCGGAGATGTTTGGGCGCTCCGCCTGCGCCTGGGCGTTGGGCGTGTTGGGGAGCGCGGAATGTGTTGTGTTCCAAGTACAAAGTTCCACAAGCTCAGCTCAATCTGTTGTGGAGCTTGGGACGAACAGTAAGTCATTGTGGGTCCAGGAGACGCCGCTGCAACGGGCGACGTAGTACAATTCTGCTGACATGTGGCTGTTGGCGCAGGCAATGTCTATGGGAGAACGTCGCGGGCGAGGTCTGGCACATTCCACGCGGGAGCGGACCGCGACGTCTTGGGAGTCGCCGCTGGTCTCAGTGCGTGGTGGAGGTTGGAGGGCCTGGGGTTTGGCGGGACAGGTTTCTAGATCGAACGTCTTGGTGCTCGGATCGGCGTACATTCGTGACTTCTGCCCGCAAGCTATAGCATTTACTTCAGCTTCCAACTCCGCTGGGTTTGCCTTTTCAATTTTCTCCCCTGCAGGGTCAGCACTGTGGCACCCATGCGTTGTTTTGTAAGGGTCCGGCGATAACCCGAGTTATCTGGCCCGCTGGTCAACCCCCCTCCCCCCATCGATAATTGACCTTGTCGTTTGTGCAGGTCTGAAGTGGGCATGCAGTACAAGTGTGCGCGGGCATACGTGATTTCTTGGGGTTGCCTAAAGCGAAAGGTTATCACCTCTCCTCCCCCCAGCAGAAAAAAGCGATGTCTACTTTCCATGGCATGCCACCCCCCGTCGTGCACACAGACGAGCATTATTGGCAAAATGGGAATCTGCGGCTGCGCGTCGCAGTCGAATGCCGATTTATTGCCGATCTCTTCATGGGCAGCGCGAAAATGCAGTCAGATGACGTTCGGTAGCTCTGCGTCAGGGTCGGGCGTCATATAGCAGCGCTGTGCGCAGTGGGGCTCCTGAAAGTACGTCGTCGATTGTTAAATGGCGAGAGCGAAAATACAATGCTGCGGCCGATTACCTGGCGAACATGGCACTCTATACTGAGCAGCCCGCGCACCGTGACAGTTCTTGCCCCATGAAACGCGATCGTCCCGACGCCCTCTCCCGTTTGTAGACGAGCGGCGGCTGGCGAGCAGGACTGGGCGCAACGGGATGGATATTGGATTACATGTCGTGGGAAAGTCCATCTCCACCCATTCATTGTCCTCAAGCTTTTACCTGCTCAACATTCCGACCTTCAGTCTCCACGTCGACATGAACATCCTACACGAGTATACGTTCCAATCCCAGTGAAGGCCAAACCGTAGCCTTTTTGGCCCAAGTCCGTACGCGGAGGCTCAGAGACCAAAAGGGATCCGCGGCCCCCACCGCTTTCATACGAGCCAGCTGTCACATAGCGTTCAGGCTACAGCTCGTGTTTGCCCTACCTCATCGGTTTGTCGCAGTGATCTTCTTCTCGCTCCTCGATGGCCAATGGAGGAAAACAGGACGAGTCGACGGTCCTGCAGGGCGCCCAGCAGGCCTGTTTGGGCTGGCTCGTGCAGGAGGTCCGTGGGCCAGCACAATCCAGTGTGTCTGCAGTGGGGCAGCACCGCAGAGGGTCGTCAAGCTCGCACGTGCTGCGCATGCCGCGGCAGTCAGAGACGGCAAAGGCAAAGGGAATGGAAAGGGCAGAGCTGAAGGCGATTCCATCGGCGCCAGCTCTCAGCTGAAATTGATGCGCTAATGGCTGCGCTTGACAAAGATGCGGACTGGCCTCCGCTCGGATCGGGTGCTGGCGCAGTCCAAGTGCGCGCGTTGCTTGCACGACCCAGGGCAGAGTCCGCGGTACTATCCACGAATATTGACAAGTTTCACACGGCACTCGCCCAGCTTGGGGATGACCCCGCCCTGGCAGGGTTGCGGAAGCCGGTGCAAGCATAACTCGATGCTGCAAAGCCGGAGCGCACGGCAACGCTACCGCAACACGCAGTGCACCGACGAACGCAGCAGGCCTTCGAGAAGTCTTGGGCTCAGATGCGGAAAATGCAGGATGAGTTGGATGACAAGGAGGCCCAGCTCCTTCAACTGCAAGGTTCTATTGCTGCGAGGAAGGCGGCAGTGGAAGCGAAGCGACTGGAGATCGCGGCGCTCGACCCGGAGTTTTCATGATCTGCAGAGGCAATGGCACCGCCGACCACGGGCGTCAAGCTCGAGCTCGCGGACGAGGAGTTCATCGACCCAGTTGTTCGCGAGTTCGCCAAGTCCGATGTCTGGAAGAATTTGCGAGCCGAGCGCCTTGCCGAGCTGGGCGCCAAGCGGCAAGCCACTGCGCCTTCTCCTACGCCTGGGACTGTGTCTGCTAGCGCTGATGCTGAGCGTGTTCGGTTCAATGAGTCCCAGAAGCGCGAGTTGTTCTATGCTTCTGAAGATGGTGTAAGCGATTTCCTTATGGCAGCCTTGGACAGTATGGAGGCATACATCAAGCGACAGCGCGTGGGATGACCCATGCAGGGGGTCCTGTGTCAAGTCGGTTGCGGTCCAAGTCTGTGGGCTTCCCGAGCGTGGACGGGCGCTGCCTCGAGGTGATCCCGGGGCGCTTTCTGTCCCACGCAGCATCGAGACGTTCATCGCTAGCGGGGGCAAGAAGACTTTCGAGAAGGGGCTTCAGGCAATTGCTGCGGACGTCGATCTCGCGCAGGAGATCGGCCACCTGCGTGACCAGTTCGAGGCGTTAGCGTCGAGGGTGCATGGCCGAGGCTTGCGCATGCTCGCGCTACTTAGCTACCCGACGTCAGTGGTGCTTCCTGGAGCTGGAGTTGCTGTCTTCGTAGGAGATGGGCATGGCTTACGGGTGCCCATGCTCGGGCACGCGCAGCTGCGGGGGCATCGAATGCAGCGCCTCGTCGTCAACTCGGGCTCGTGGCCCATCTAGCTGCACGTCGTCAGTGTGACGCATGTGGTAAGGCTGCGAAGCTGCTCGCTGGTGTTGGCGCGCTCATGCATGATGCCGATCGGCTTGTTACCATCGCAGGGGATTGGAATCCCCCCCCCTTCCCCCTAGTGAGCTGGGGGCGTCGAGTTCCGT